CCATTGGTATGCACGAATTTTGCGATCCAGCGCTGCTAAACGAGCTTGTTGCTGTTGTTGATGCCCAGCAATAAGAAATTCGACTGTCATCGAATGTCAAATGATGGTAGTAGTTTGGCCACCTTTGATAACTGGCTGTTTAATGTGGCTATATTTGCCACTACGGTCACGCCCTACGAGATACCACGGACTAATCATGTAAAGAAGAGCTGCACGAAAACCCCTAGAGAGCGAATTTTTGCGCACAACACGGTAGACAACCCTGAGGGTTCGCAGCAATAGCGTTATCCACAGGAACAGGACAGAGTTACATGTGCAAGGTGCGCTGGTAACCACGGACTTTCAGATTGCGACGACTTTAGAGCCATGTGTACAAAACAGCGGTGAGAACTTGTCGAGGCTCTGCTTTTGCTGCTTTATGCGACATCCTGCACAACAGTGTAAAATAAAGAAGAAATGTCACGTGGATGGTTGCGAGTCAACGCACCATGTACTGCTACTTACATACACCCACACGAGCGGTAGTAAAGATGAGCACACGGGCCAAGGTAGCAACAATCGGGCTAAGTCGATGGAGTCTTCCGTTATGTTTCATGGCAGGTCCGCAAGTAAGACAGTGTTTCGATATGTTCCAATCACGCTCTATAGTAAATCAAAAAGCGTACGCACATACGCACGTGGATGATGGAGCTGAGTGTACGCTAATAGAAAGAGCGCTTGCGGACGAGTTGGAACTAGATGGCCCGGCGACCCAAGAACCAAGCCAAGAACGAACCTGAGCATTTCTGCTCCAGAATATAATGCGGTACTGTATGCGTTGAAAAACGTGCGAACTGTAGCGAACTTGGACTTTCCAGAGCAAAGTATCGGGCCACAGTTGCTTAAGTCTCGGAAGTATTTATCTATGCTTCCCATCCTGCCGTATAAGAACGTAAAGGCTCAGCTTATGATCGGCTTGGACAACATCAAAATAACTGCACCCCTGGAGATACGAGAAGGTAAAAACGATGACGTCATAGCAGCGCGAAGCAGACTAGGATGGTGGGTGAAAGCACCACGCCTCGTCTGTTACATATTTGCCTGTGCAGTGCGACACTTGGGATGGATGAGACTCTGAAGAACTATTTTGCCCTGAAGTCACTAGGTGTGAGCGTCTCCTCAAATCCGCTGAAATCCAAAGAGGACGAAGGCTCGATGCAGATAATGGAGGCAACAACAACTTATCTGGAAACTGTCAAGCGCTGGCAGACTGGCCTGATATAGCAGTTTGATCGCATTCATATGCCAAACTCTTACCAGATGGCAGTTAAATGTCTAGAGGCAAAGATGTTCAAAGACCCACCACTGAAGGAGTTCATAATGAATTCGATGCACGACTACAAACAGAAATTATATATCCGCCAGCTTAACGATAGTGAGTTAGTAGCTAAAACGAAGTCGTAGTTTCTTCCCCGACCCGAACAAGCAAAAGACACGCTTGGTATGGGATGCAGCCGCCAAAGTTAGTGGCACGTCGCTGAACGGTTGTTTGCTTAAAGGCCCAGATACACGAGCGTCTTTAATGGGCGTGCTTATACGCTTCAGAGAGCGCCCTATCGCCATATCCGGCGGCATACGGAAAATGTTTCATCAGGTCAAGGTGCGCCGAGAAGATCTAGCGGCTCAGAAGTTTCTCTGGCGTGATGGAGATTCGTCAGTCTCTCCCGAAACGTACGTTATGCAAGTCATGACGTTCGGAGCATCCTGTTCGCCAGCCCTAGCAAATTACGTGAAGAATCGCAATGCCGAGCGGTTCGTTGCGGAGCGTAAACACATTTGTAGACGACTAGCTGCAGTCGGTAGATGCAGAATTCCAAATGATACAGTTAGCTGAGACTGTAAAAAGGATTCATGTTTCGAGATGCGCCACTGGACATACAATTCAAAGCAAATTATGAAGGCGCTGGACGACGACTGTGAGGGCTTAAACAATATATATAAGCGCTCAGGATAAAGCGCAAGAAAAGGTCCTGCGCCTGTGGTGGCTACCTGGACAAGATCTGTTGACCTTTGTGGTAAAGCCGAACTTGCTTGGGAAAGCATCTAAGGAGCGCCCAACTAAAAGACGCGTTCTAAGCGTGGTCATGTCTATTTTCGACCCGCTTGGGCTGCTAGGATTCTTTAATATACGCGCCAAGATCATCCTTCAGAACATATGGCGATCCAACATCGGATGCGATGACCACCCTAACAAAGAAGACGAAGTGGATTGGCGACAGTGGCTATCTCTAGTTTCAAAGTTGAATACCGTCCGTATTCCACAGTGTATGAAGTGGGTGAGCCGAACCCAGACTGTACAGATGCACACATTCAGTTGTATTTTTGCGGACTGAACTTGATGGCCAAGTACATTGCAGTTTGGTACATTTCCATACCTCGTATGGATCTGATGGCCGCTGTCTTAGGTCTGAGACTGCCCTAATATATCCAAAATGAAATGTCGGTATGCACACATAGACGAACATTTTAGACGGATTCAATGGACGTGCTCTGCTGGATCCAGTCCGATGCTCGAAAGTTCCAACAATTCGTAGCGCTTCTCATCGGAAAGATTTTAGAAGAATCAGATGTGGACAGCTGGCACCGGGTCCCATTAGCTCAAGCCGTGTCAGACTATGCCACAAAATGGACCAAAAGCCCGAAATTCACGGCTCGACCATGTTATACCATGCTGAAGAACAAGCCAATCACACATCCTCTTGGAGATGTATCCTGCTGGATCTGCAGCGCTTCAGCAAGCTGGAGAAATTGAGAACCCCACAGCTATGCTTACTGGATTTCCAACGGATTGTTACTAAGAAGGCCAACGGGCGATCAGAGGCGCAGAAGATGCTGCTCCTTAAACGCACCAAAGAAATGAAAGTGATTTTTATTCGGATATGCCAAGAAGACGAGTTTTATAGTGAGATTACCTCCATAAAGTCGGAGCGCCGCCTAACCGATCGCAATAGCCTGCTCTTCAAGCTCTCTCCTTAAATAGATGACTCGGGAATTCTACGTTTTAAGGGACGGATAGACAGTATATAAGGAGTTGAAGTCTGCGTAAAACGCACGATAATTCTGCCAAGACGACATCGATTGACGTATCTGCTTGTTTAGTTTTATCACCGCAAATATCATCACCTGCACAACGAAATCGTCGTAAACGAACTGCGTCAGCAGTACTGGGTCTGTAGCTTGCGAGCCTTGGTGAGAGAAGTCTCCAGTGCTTGCCGTATACGACGCGCCCGCCCAAAGTCACCAGAGATGGGCAACCTGCCAACCGAACGATTATTGCCCTTTACTCCAACGTTCACATATACTAGAGTGGATTACTTTTGACAATATGACATTGTCTTTGGACGGCTTCGTAAGAAGCGCTGGGGTGTGCTGTTCATATGCCTCACGGTACGCGCCGTTCACCAAGATATAGCCATAGATATAGCGTCGCTCTCAACTGACTCTTACCTATGCGCTCTGAAGTCGTTCGTGGCCAGACCCGGCTGCCCTCCTCTCCATGATGTCGGACAATGGTACACATTTCAGAGGTGCTAGCAGAATATCAAAAGATGATATTGAACGTATATCGCCGGCACTGATCGTGCGACAATACCCGGAACTGGAGCTTACCCTTATTCCACCAGGATCACCGCACATGGGAGGATCGTGAGAACGAATGGTGCGTTCTACAAAGTCAATACTGTCGGGGATTCTGCCGCACTCTGGGCTACGAGAGGAGGTGCTACGAGTGGCATTGGCAGACTTAGAGAGCATGCTCAACTCAAGACCGCTCACTAATGTTTCCTTGAAGACTTCAGAGTCCGAAGCCCTGACTCCGAACCATTTTCTAATAGGTCATTCAAGCGGTTTACGTGAGAGAGACTCACGGGATCGGGACGCAGCTAGCTTGGCACGAGGCTTCCGAGTCGCCAGCCAATTGGCTGACCAATTTCGGAAGAGATGGTTGAGCAAGTATCTGCCCACACTCACCAGACGTACTAAGTGGTTTCAACTGCCAATCGAAAAAGCATCAGTCGACGACATCGTTATAATAGTGGACGATGGTGCCAAACGAAACTGTTGGACAAGAGGAGTGGTAGTCGACGTGCACCGTTCGAAAGACGGCCAGGTCCGAAGCGCCGTGGTGCGAACCGCCGATGGAATTATTACTCGCCCCCCCGTCAAGCTAGCTAAGCTTGACATTAAAGTTGGTAACACACTGCCCGGACGTTCGTGAATTACAGGGTGGGGAATGTTACGGGGCGAAGTGAAAATGTCTATTGTCACTAAGTCCTACTGGGCATCGCATTTTTCTGTAAGCGGCGCTCGCTTCTTATGCTGGAAGTGCACCGCTAGAATTAGTTTGTACATACGGAGGTCGATATCGCCCAGCTGCACAATTTGCCTTTTCGTCGAGGTTAGCTTTCGTTTTTTGCTCGCAGCTGAGCAGAAGTGTATGAGAAGATAAGCGAGTGCGGAGCAGGAATGTAAGTCTCATAAACTTGTTAAATATATGTAGATCATTAAATATTGAAAGATAATAAAGATTTCAGCAATCGTACGTGGCGAATCGGATCGTATCGTAACGTACGTCGAAGCGAATGTTGTTTCTTTTCGACTCTAGAAATTTAAGTAGTAGTAAAGTCAATTCAGAATAGATTCCTGTTGGATACTCCCAACTAGAGCATTCTTTGACGTAAGGAATTGTATCCCAACAATTATAATAGCTTGATAATTTTTCAAAGATCGGAGAATAAACAAAGAATGAATACTCCACTGTGTGGTGCTGATAAAAGAAATAGCACAGCTGCTGCAAAACAAGTACTGCTTTCACATTACTTATATGTCCGTATTGGTGGACGAATACAATTTACAAGAATCCACATATATTTTGTTAGGAGTTGAGTACTGGTCAAACAATTGTCTTAAAGAGGGGACAGGTTGATGTCTGTTAATTGTTTAAAATAAATATTTAAACTTACTCTGGTATCCAAATATCGATGGCAAATTGTTTAATTAGTTCACGAAATTTCCGCTGGTTGAAACGTAAGTGCAGTAAGCGAACAAAATTTAAAGCGCCCATAAATGTTGTGCAGCAGTTTTCCGTTATCATTATAATATCTCCGAAGTTTTTAACCAAAAATGCCGTTTGAAAGCAAATGGTTATGCCCACTAATACAATAACATACCACGCCCACAAAGAGTAGGTCACAGCAAACATATTATATCTCATACCCGGCTTAGGTTTTTTCGAACTCGTTTTTAACGGCCAAGAACCATTAAATTTTAACCAAATGCACTGAAAGGGCATTCGAAAGCTCGGATCTTTGTAATGTAGTGGGCTAAACATCACAATGCGACTGATTTAAAAATTCTATGCCACCCTGATATACCTTACTGCTTTATATGTCTTCATATATATGCAAAGAATGTGAAGTACAAGTAGAATTATAAATCAGCCTATTAAAAACTTCTTTGATGTTATATTTTTTCACAACAGGCATGAGAATATTTAAGTATAAGATGGCTTGCGGCTGAACATACTTAAATTGACTTCTTGTTTATTAATTATGCATGCACTCGCTCATTACCTTTTTTTTTTCATAAGTTGAAATCAGGGAATCATGTGAGTGCTTGATAACTATGACAGGAACCGACCGAAAGAGTACTGCCAGAAGTGGTGGCCAAAAGCAAAAACCTCTGGCGACCTTCAGAGTGTTATATTTGTATACCCTTGCAGGCGGTATTAAAATTTTATCGTAAAATGTGTAAAACATAGAAGGAGACATCTCCGACCCCATAGAGTATATATATTCTTGATCAGTATCAACAGCCGAGTCGATATAGCCATGTCCGTCTTTCTGTCCGTCCGTACGTAAGAGGGTTCAGGGTATTCCCTAGTCGGGAGCTTCCGACTAGAACCTCTTACTTGTTATTATCTGATATTACTATATTTTCCCTATCTTTTATACCTGTGACCTTATATGGTCCAATAGAATTAAAATCTAGCTTATGACCTGTTTCGTTTCTTAGTAAAACTTTATCTCTTAATTTTAATTCAAGGTTTACGACTTTCTTGTCATATAAGACTATGTTTCTATGTGTGCGCTGTTCTACCATTATCCTAGCTCTTTTATATGCTATTTGTAGTCTATATTTCGATCCCTTAGCGTAATCATCTACATTATAAAATGGTTCTATACTATCTTTGCTATTAAAATGTTTTGGTAGGTTATTTGTTTTACCAAATACTAGCTCGTATGGAAAATTAGTATATGCCATAGAACAACAGTAATCGAAATATTGAAGCCATACGTCCCAATCAGTTTTATTAACTGATATGTATGATCGTATGTATTCGTTAAAAGTTCCATGACTTTTTCGACTGTTCTGACTTTCTGGTGGTGGTGTGCTGTAGATGTTGTATTATTAGTTTTTAGATATTTGCACAAGTCACTTATGATTAAATTATTATATTCTGTTCCTATGTCCGTAATGAACGTCTTCATTGAACCGTACTTCAGAATTAAAGACTCAAATATAGCTTAAGCGACAGAGATTGCACTCTAATGTGCAACTGGTATGGCAACTACATATTCAGTTAGGTCACATATGTGAGTGATTATTCATTGCCATTTTCTGATTTTAGTAGTGGACCAATGGTGTTCACTATCACTCTGTGGAAAGCATTTATAGGTGTATCAGTTATTGTTAATGGGGTCTTATTGTGCTTAGTTGTTTTTGCTTTTTGACATTTTTGAAATTTTTGTATGTACTTACTCAGATATATCCCAAGTCGTACCCATATAAAAATAATGTCTTTTGACCTTGGCCAAGGCTTTTGTTATGCCTGTGAAACCTCCTTTTATTGGATTGTCATGGTATGTAGACATAATTTCTTATTTTTCCTTTTTTGTTTATTTAATTCTATGGTCTCCGGGTTAAGTTAGCGGTACTTAACTACTCTGAATTCATTTAATATTTTATTGCCCGTTTTCTTCAAATTATCGATTAAAACATACTCAAAGATATTTTCCCACCGGCTTGAATTTTAAGCCTTTGGAAGAACTAACCTAAGTCAAGAATTCCATTAGTATACAGATTGCTAACATCATATTTTGCAGTAATTTTTATACCCTGAATCCATTAAAAGTGGGTATAAGGGTATATTGTATTTGTGCAAAATCCAAATTAATGTAACAGGTAGAAGGAAGCATCTCCGACCCCATAGAGTATATATATTTTTAATCAGCACCAATAGCCGAGTCGATCTAGCCATGTCCGTCTGTCTGTCCAGTTTGTTTCCGATAATCGATAACTTACTCCGTTTCCAAGCAATCGATCAAAATCGATATCGATATCCTGCTTTTTGGGCAATTTTGGTAAATAATAAGAGCTAGAGTCACCAATCTTGACATATAGCTTCTAAAATAAAATATATATATGCATTTGATGTTGGAAGAAGAGGGTTCAGGGTATCCCCTAGTCGGGAGCTCCCTACTAGAACTTCTTAATTTTTTATCATAAGTACTTAATTATTGGTGTGGCTACTGAGTAGTGGCATGGCAAGTGGTGCGGTCTGTCGCGAGTTCAAGCCCCACCGGGAAAGAATTTTTTTTTCCTGGTATGGCTGTTGAGTAGGGTCGACAGCAAGAACTGCTGTCAGTTAGGAGCTGCCGCCGCAGGCATGCCAAAAAAACAAAGACCGTGCCAGTCGCCCAAATTTACGTCCCTACAGTAAACAGAAAATAAACATAAGTATTTTATTTAGGTCAATTAATTGTGTATTAAATAAAATTTGATCATCATGCCTGACTGGACGAAGAAATACATGATAGAGCATTTAAATGTGAGTGCCTATTGCTACCACAGGCACAAAAGGCACATAATTGAAGAAATAACCTCTGGCTTGCGACAAACGCTGCGATCTTCTTGTGCGCATATCCACACAACACAAACGTATGAAGGTTTGTAAATCTCAGGGTTTTGTGCGCGAAGCAATGAGTGAGAGCGAGGCACATACATACACATATATGTTATTGGGCTGTAAGGATTTAAAAATGGCATACATACATACATATATTAAGAAAACGCATCAGCCGCGATGCTGTGCGCTGAGCGAGATGCGGCTTCATACTGAACGTTCGGCATTTGAGGCCGGCGTTCGGCTGCCACTCTCAGCAGTCTTACTCTGTCTGGGCACACTTAAATGGTCGCAGGTACCATTGGGGTCGCCTCGATTCGAATTTTCTTGTTTCGATTAAAACTGCCATTTGGTATGTCTATACATTGTATGGTTAGTGGTATAAGGGTATATTGCATTTGTGCAAAATCCCAATGTATGTAACAGGCAGAAGGAAGCATCTCCGGCCCCATAAAGTATATATATTCTTGATTAGCATCAATAGCCGAGTCGATCTAGCCATGTCCGTCTGTCCGTCCGTCCGTTCGTCCGTCTGTATGAACGCAAGGATCTCAGAACCTATAAGAGCTAGAGACTTGAAATTTTAGATATAGGTGCTCCAAGTGCCTGCGCAGATTGAATTTGTTTCCGATAATCGATAACTTACTCCGTTTCCAAGCAATGGATATCGACATCCTGTTTTTTGGACAAATTGGGTAAATTATAAGAGCTACAGCCAACAAACATGAAATGTTGCTTCTAGAATATTAAATATATACCAAGTATCTTTCATTTAATACCTATCGCCACCTGCTCGCTACCACCCAATAGCTAGAAATCAAGTTAATAACCCAACTTTTATTGCCAACCAATTTAAATCACAATTTAAATGCAATTGACTTTTTCAGAATACACAAATATTCTATGGTACAATATGATATACTGTAGAAAATTTCATAAAGATCGGTTAAGAAAAAACCAAAGTTATATGCAACTGCGCAATTGAATGGGGTAGCAGCTTTAAGAATTTCTGTATACATGTACACACACACATTCATGCGCGCCTGCTTCGCATTCTATCGCATGCTAACAGCACGGTAATTGCTTTTTTCTGTAATGCTATTTTACTCATTTTTCTACCCTGAACCTATTAAAAATTGGTATAAGGGTATATTGTATTTGTGCAAAATGCAAATGTAAGTATGTAACAGGCAGATGGAAGTATCTCCGACCCTATAAAGTATATATATATTCTTGATTAGCATCAATAGCCGAGTCGATCTAGCCATGTCCGTCGGTCTGTCTGTCCGCCTGTCGTCCGTCCGTCTGTCCGTATGTATGAACGCAAGGATCTCAGAACCTCTAAGAGCTGTCTGTCTGTCCGCCTGTCGTCCGTCCGTCTGTCCGTATGTATGAACGCAAGGATCTCAGAACCTATAAGAGCTAGAGACCTGAAATTTTAGATGTAGGTCCTCCTAGTGACTGCGTAGATCGTGTTGTTTCCGATAATCGATAACTTACCGCATTTTCAAGCAATCGATAAAAATCAATATCTACTTCCTGTTTTGTGAGCAATTTTGGTAAGTATTAAGAGCTAGAGTCACCAAACATGATGTGTTGCTTCTAGAATATTATAAATGTCGGAGGGGAAGTACTGTAGCATCTCGATAGGCATGAGACTTTAAGGTGTAGCCATGGGATGTGCTGGTAGGTAATAGTTCTGGTAGAATGGGGACTCGATTTTCGAACTGAGGCTGTGTGTGTCTTCGTATGCGTTGCTAGATCTGAACTCTCTCTTGTGACGGTCCTGTGTTTCCGGCGTATCGTGTGGTGGTCACGTGTGTGTATTTAAGAGACAATAATGAGCAACAAAGGCAACGAAGACACGCTGCATCCACCAGGACTAAGTTCGGAACACCAGACTCTGAACGACCAAGCGACCAATAATGACGACTTGCAGGGAGATGACTTTAATTCTCCGACATATATATGTCAATTATCTTTCATTTTATACCTATTGCTACCTCCCCGATACCACTCCAGAGCTATAAATCAAGTTAATAACCCAACTTATATTTCCAACCAATTTAAGCCACAATTTAAATGCAATTGACTTTTTGACAATACACAAATATTCTATGGTACAATAATATACATATTCTGTAGAAAATTTCATAAAGATCGGTTAAGAAAACTCTAAAGTTATATGTAACTGCTCAATTGGATGGGGCAGCTAGCGAAACTTTAAGAATTTCTGTATACATGTACACACACACATTCAGAATGGTAATTGCGACTTTTTATACAATGAACCCATTAAAATTGGATATAAGGGTATATTGTATTTGTGCAAAATCCAAATGTATGTAACAGGCAGAAGGAAGCCCATTAAGTATATATATTCTTGATCAGCATCAATAGCCGAGTCGATCTAGGCATGTCCGTCTGTCTGTCTGTACGTCTGTCTGTCCGTCTGTCCGTCCGTCCGTCCGTCCGTCTGTCCGTCCGTCCGTCTGTCTGTATGTTTGAACGCAAGGATCTCAGAGCTTCTAAGAGCTAGAGACTTGAAATTTTAGATATAGG